GAAGACAACTTATCACAGACATCAGAAGGAGACAGTCATCATTTTTCGGCCATGTTATGAGAAGAGGGAAAATAGAACATGTTGTGACCACAGGAAAGAACTGTGGAATGAAGGATAGAGAAAGACGAAGAGAGAAGATGCTTGACAGTCTTGTTGCATAGCATGGAGGTCTGTCGGCACACGAACTGATACATGCTGCAGGAGATCGCAGATTATGGAGAGGTATGATCACCCACGCCAGTCGGCAAGGCACCTGATGATGATGATTCACTATTCGTATTCGTATTCAGTCGAATAGTTGGTCCCGTTATTCGTATTCGACCGAATAGTAAAAATCACTGTTCGGTACAGATCTAGTATCTGTAATGTAGATACCCAGCTAAACATTAAAAAAAATATCTATATTCGTTAATGTATATTTCAGTTTCACTGTTCTTGTGGCATTTTCTGCATGGTTCAATTATTGAGATATATAAGTAACATCAGGGTAAATACAATAAATGATAATGATTAAAGTGAAGACAACGATAGTGTATTTGTTAGATTGGTGTTTGCCCACTGTGTGTGTGCTACAATCCCAGTGAAGGGGCTGGAGTGATAGCTTCACCAGTCACATTGGGTGGGGTGCGGGGGGACTGCTAGTGGTGGAACTGTCACCCTGAGTCAAGGCCAGGGGTGGAGTGGTGGCAACCCCGTGCGTGAGGGTGCTCCTGCCCCCTTGAGAGTGTTCCTGTCCCCGTGAGAGTGCTCCTGCCCCCGTGAGGGTGCTCCTGGCCCCTTGAGGGTGCTCCTGACCCCTTGAGGGTGCTCCTGGCCCCATGAGGGTGCTCCTGACCCCGTGAGGGTGCTGCTGCCCCAGTGAGGGTGCTACCGCACCTGAGGGAGCAGAAGCTTTTGTGTTCAAATGTCTGGGGTGATGGAACAGATCAGGGGGCAGTAAGAGCCTTGGGTGTATTTAGGGGCACTGACTAATGTATATGCCAGCAGTGGAGACATAGATAAAGTAGAGGGCAAGAGAATAAGGAAGATACAGGGGCCGAAACATTTAGAGAAGGGGGACCTCTTCTGATGATCAGTAGGCTCCTGTTCTACTACATATAGTACATATAGGGCGACAGTGGAGACAAGATAAGAGGATGGGAGAATATAATGTCCTTTAACTATTCAGTGGCCAGCCGGGCAATTCAATCTAGTAATAATTTAAAAAATATTAAGAAGCTTCTCTACAGTTAAAGTTGACTACAATGGATCATTATTGCTGTCTGTCTCTTGTTTCAATCCTGAGCTCTCGCTCATTTGATTTGACTGTGACTGCCAGTGGGGCTTCTAAGAGCAGAATGAGTCTATAAAGCATATACTAGGAAGGTTGATATAACAGTATGCAGTGACAAAAGGATGCAACAAGTCGAAGGGACATCCAGCATAAGAATGGAGGTAAAGGTGGCCAATGGAGTTCTGTGATCACTTGCTGTGTCATCAACACTGACTCGTCATACCTTACAACAGTACTTCCCAACTGGTTATCCATGGGTCCCCAGGTGTCCGTGGAACAAATGTAAGGGGTCCCTGATTTCATACAGGACAAAATCCCTATGTAGCTGGACCTGATTTCCAGGATGTGTACACTATTCTTGAGATTTCAATCCTACAGACTCAATCCTGGATGTGTACACTATTCTTGAGATTTCAATCCTACAGGCTCAATCCTGGATGTGTACACTATTCTTGAGATTTCAATCCTACAGGCTCAATCCTGTTAGAGGAAAACTACCTACCCTGCATCGTTCTCTGATAGGGCAGACACTTCTAGTGGCCCACCATAGGCCCAAAGTTTGAAGAACACTGCCTTAGGTCATCCACATCTTTTTTTTTTCTATTTGTGTGGGGGAGGGGAAGAACAGATCCAAAGAACATGCCTGACACGAAAGGTAACCAATTAGGGATGTTCTTTTGAAGCTGGAGTGCATCTACCTGACAGGCAAGGAACCAACAGTCGGTATATAAATCAACCAGATGTGTAAAACAATTTACAGGCAAAAATCCAGTTCTGCAACAAGATCAAGGCCCAGAAGTGAACGAACAACCAACATATTTCACCACAGTTTATATCCAGTGAATGCTAAGAAAAGAAGAAGTATGCATACTCTTGGACATGCTGAGGGAGATGAAGCCCATGAGTGTAAGCCCTGAGGGTAAAACTTGTGCCACCTCAGTGGAGGTCGGCTGCCATGTATCAGCTGCTATGGGAATATTTTGTGGTGTCGCCCCAGTTTCTTCCATGGTGTGACTCTCATACCAGTGTGGAAGCCTTAAAATAGTCTTAGTCTAAACTCCCACAGTGAGAATTAAACCCTGATAAATACTGAGATTGCACAGTGAACTGATTTCACTCAACTCTAGGCCACAGAGTGGTACATGCCCTGACAGCCGTGATAACCAGTCCTGGATAGCAAATTCTGACTAAGTACATGCAAACTAACTACAAGACATAACAACAACAAAAAAAATAACACAAAACTAAATGTATGATTATTACTTTTTAGTATTTCTTTTTTCTGCTGATCAATAATGTCTTTTGTTTTGTTTGTTTGCTCCAAAATCTCAGCATTCAACTCCACATGCTCAACTCTTCATAAATGGGGGGTAAAACAACGATGGTAAATCTCTTCCTAACCTTTGGTAATGAATTAAACAACTAGTCTTCTCAGACAAAGGCCCCCAAAAAAACTCACTTTATACTGAACGCCACACAACTATAAGTCATACTCCACATACCATACACACCCAGAGAAACTATTTGCTAGGCTGTATATAAAGCTACTCCATACTCGACTCTACGAATACACCCAAATCACGCATTATGCACAAACACATGTGCCATTATCAAGCCTACAGAACATCCACTGCAGATGTGTACATACATGTTGTTGTTGTTATTGATCTAGCGGCGCATGAGCTTTGGCCCAATGCCATGTAGTGGAATTTGCATGTTTTCACAAGCTGTTCTTTTCCTCCGTACAAGGTGTTCCACTTGTCTGGTCTTCGAGGGAGTAGCATTCTTCTAGTCTCGCTGAGTTTTGGGCACTCAAAGAGATGGTGTTCAACAGTTTCGTAGGGGTAGTTACATAGCTGGCACTCTGGGGAGTGTTGTGGCTGTATTCTGTTTAGGTGTCCATTGAGTGGAGTATGTTGCGTTCTAATTCTGAAGATGGTGGCCTGGTCCCTTCTTGTTAGAAGGTTAATGCTGTCATTAGGATCAGGGCTAGCCATATGTCTATAAACCTCTCTTCCAGTGTCTCCCATGGCCCATCTGTTCAACCAAGTCCCTGTATTTATAGCTCTTATCAGTGTTTTTGCTGTCTGGAGGGTTGTCGCTGTAGGTGGTTGTTCTTGTGTTGCTCCTTTCTTTGCCAATCTGTCAGCTCTGTCAGCTCTGTCATTACCTGGTGTGCCGGAGTCACCTGGAATCCACTGCATCACTATTCTGATGTTGTATGAGGTAATAAGCTGACCAGCATCCAGGATTATCTTGGCTAGTGTACACACATACAAACATATATCTATCCATACATCCATATTTAGACATGTATGCATATATTTACCCAAACATATATGTACATACATACATATGTGTGTTGTTTGTGTGTACTTATTTATGTATGTATATATATATATATATATATATATATATATATATATATATATATATATATATATATATATATATATATATATATATATATATATATATATATATATATATATATATATATATATATATCTCACACACACACACACACACACATTATTATACATATACTCACATACAAACACATACCATACACACAAATATGTAAACATATGACACAGAAAAATGGTCCTATATATAGGTCATTTTAACGCAATCTGACCTTGTCTAGACAACAGACATTTACTTTAGTTTAACTGAGACTACAATACGTCAAAGTAAAGACATCAAAACAGTAGTTACACGGTTACAAGTGAGGCTCTCAAGCCGTGAGTTCTTATCCTGCTAAGGTGATGGGCGTTTTTCTGTCAGGGGCAATAATAAACATCCTAACCTGTACAGTCCGTGGTGACAGCACTAGTCATGAGGGCACTAGTCATGAGGGCACTAGTCATGAGGCCTAGTCATGAGGGCACTAGTCATGAGGGCACTAGTCATGAGGGCACTAGTCATGAGGGCACTAGTCATGAGGGCACTAGTCATGAGGGCACTAGTCATGAGGGCACTAGTCATGAGGGCCTAAATCTTTAGGTTCACGATTCCCCTGTCTACACAATCCTAGAAAGCAATAAATACAGACAGTAGTGACAGTATTTTTTAAGCGTGTGTTTTGTATCAGGGACATGGTGCTAGGCCAGGGGTGGATAAGCTTTTTTTTTTCTGCAGGCCAAATTTAGCATTATCAACCTGGTTGCAGGCCATACAGAAAAAATCTATCACAAAAGTAACACCCAATATTTAGGTAGAATAATACATCAAGGTTTCCGCACTCTTCTGTGAATAGACTAACCAGATAAAAACCATGGCCGTGGCCCTATACTTTATTACCAAAGCCTGTCAACAGAGACTGACTCCCAGTGTCTGAGTTTGTCTGCATCACATGTTTTACTAGCAGGATCAAAGATTTGGTGACAGCAGTTTCTGGTTATCAATTTTTTTTATGTTGACTTTTGGATTTCTTCAATTATGCAAAGGTACACGTTTTTCTGTTTGACTATTCTGTAAGCCCAAGGGCCAGATTTGTCACTAATTTCATACCAGCTTCGCAGGCCGGTTAAAAACTGCTCCATGGCACAGTGGGCCATAGTTTGCCCACCATTAGGCAAGACGTAAAATTGTATTGACCAATCAGTGCTCGACTGGTGATTTACTCAACATCACATGCCTGCCTCTACTTCTCGGTTACAATAAAATAATAAACAACAAAATGAATTATAAAACTTGCAGCAGTAAACAATTAAATCCCTTGATTTTACAATTTAGAAGCCAAATCACCAAATCTCTGGATGTCCTTCTCATAGGCTGCAAGACAGTCCCGATAAACATCCTCTTTCATGTTGGCCAAACTGTCCCTAGGGTAGCCTGATTTCCCATGGAAGGCCTTGAGAAGCCTCACAGACTCGGCTAACAGCACACTTTCTTTTGGGATGGCATGGGTCAGCCCTGCAGTGAAGGCTTCCTCTGGAGTAAACCGTCGGCCAAGCACCACCGCATCTGTCAGATTCTTTCCATATCCAACTTTAATCCTGAAAGATCAATAATTGACTTTGAGAAGATTCCTAATTTTTGGTTGAAATGAATCTGACAGATTAAAACCCAATCCACAGGTTTCTAGGGTCTATAGAGGAAGCAAAGCTAAGTTTGGAGAGTATCCTTTACAGGTCGTTGCAGAACCAACTCCAGCTCATGGCTGTTAGTGCTTTTCAAGGCAAATTTACATTCAGTAGTTTGCCATTGTTGCTGAACGGTCGGCTCTCGACACCACTGTCAAAACTAATGCAAGGCAGTCTGCTGCCAAATCAGTTTCAGCTAGGACTGAACCCATAATTACAAAGTGCATTCGCAATACCCAAGCTACAGCAAAAGTCAGACACACAGAATAGTAACACTCTAAGGTGTCATACAGAATAGTAACACTCTAGGATGTCATACAGAAGAGTAACACTCTAAGGTGTCACAGGAAAAGTAACATCTAAGATGTCACACAGAAGAGTAACACTCTAAGGTGTCACGCAGAAGTGACTATAGATGGTGGCATCAGAATGGATGCTTCATTCATAACAACTTTACAAAGAACAAATAATCCTGAAAAGGCCTAAACGTTCTTGGTCTAAGGTCTCACGCATGTCACAAGAAGTGACTATAGATGGTGGGATTAGAATGGATGCTTCATTCATAACAACTTTACAAAGAACAAATAATCCTGAAAAAGCCTAAAAGTTCTTGGTCTAAGGGGGCTGAAGGCCTGTGCTCTAATGGAAGATGAAAGAAGAAGAAGACAAGCTTTTTACTTCTTCTCCTTCACATTCATCGGATGTGCACTCCAGTGGAAAGTTCTGGGTGTTCGTCCACCTTCAGACTTCAGTCTTGTTTCAGACCTTGAGTGTTGTGTCCATTTTACAGATCTGCCTTACTTGTATGCAAACTCTTGGTTCCTTGCCTTTCCGGCCGGTGTACTACAACTTTGAAAAATGCCCCCAACTAGTCGACTCATAGGACATGCTTGTTGGGGAAGCTGTAGGTCTGTTCTTGTGTCCCCAACACAGGGGCTCTGGAGCCCACACAGGGGAGCTGTAGGTCTATTCTTGTGTCCCCCACACTGGGGCTCTGGAGCCCACACAGAGGAGCTGTAGGTCTGTTCTTGTGTCCCCCACACTGGGGCTCTGGAGCCCACACAGAGGAGCTGTAGGTCTGTTCTTGTGTCCCCCACACTGGGGCTCTGGAGCCCACACAGAGGAGCTGTAGGTCTATTCTTGTGTCCCACACACTGGAGCCCACACAAGGAGCTGTAGGTCTATTCTTGTGTCCCCCACACTGGGGCTCTGGAGCCCACACAGGGAGCTGTAGGTCTGTTCTTGTGTCCCACACACTGGAGCCCACACAGGGAGCTGTAGGTCTGTTCTTGTGTCCCCCACACTGGAGCCCACACAAGGAGCTGTAGGTCTATTCTTGTGTCCCCCACACTGGGGCTCTGGAGCCCACACAGGGAGCTGTAGGTCTGTTCTTGTGTCCCCCACACTGGAGCTCTGGAGCCCACACAGGGAGCTGTAGGTCTATTCTTGTGTCCCCCACACTGGGGCTCTGGAGCCCACACAGGGGAGCTGTAGGTCTGTTCTTGTGTCCCCCACACTGGGGCTCTGGAGCCCACACAGGGGAGCTGTAGGTCTATTCTTGTGTCCCCCACACTGGAGCCCACACAGGGGAGCTGTAGGTCTATTCTTGTGTCCCCCACACTGGGGCTCTGGAGCCCACACAGGGGAGCTGTAGGTCTATTCTTGTGTCCCCCCACACTGGGGCTCTGGAGCCCACACAGGGGAGCTGTAGGTCTATTCTTGTGTCCCCCACACTGGGGCTCTGGAGCCCACACAGGGGAGCTGTAGGTCTATTCTTGTGTCCCCCACACTGGGGCTCTGGAGCCCACACAGGGGAGCTGTAGGTCTATTCTTGTGTCCCCCCCACACTGGGGCTCTGGAGCCCACACAGGGGAGCTGTAGGTCTATTCTTGTGTCCCCCCACACTGGGGCTCTGGAGCCCACACAGGGGAGCTGTAGGTCTATTCTTGTGTCCCCCACACTGGAGCCCACACAGGGGAGCTGTAGGTCTATTCTTGTGTCCCCCACACTGGAGCCCACACAGGGAGCTGTAGGTCTATTCTTGTGTCCCCCACACTGGAGCCCACACAGGGGAGCTGTAGGTCTATTCTTGTGTCCCCCACACTGGAGCCCACACAGGGGAGCTGTAGGTCTGTTCTTGTGTCCCCCACACTGGAGCCCACACAGGGAGCTGTAGGTCTATTCTTGTGTCCCCCACACTGGAGCCCACACAGGGAGCTGTAGGTCTATTCTTGTGTCCCCCACACTGGAGCCCACACAGGGGAGCTGTAGGTCTATTCTTGTGTCCCCCACACTGGAGCCCACACAGGGAAGCTGTAGGTCTATTCTTGTGTCCCCCACACTGGAGCCCACACAGGGGAGCTGTAGGTCTATTCTTGTGTCCCCCACACTGGAGCCCACACAGGGAGCTGTAGGTCTGTTCTTGTGTCCCCCACACTGGAGCCCACACAGGGGAGCTGTAGGTCTATTCTTGTGTCCCCCACACTGGAGCCCACACAGGGGAGCTGTAGGTCTATTCTTGTGTCCCCCACACTGGAGCCCACACAGGGGAGCTGTAGGTCTATTCTTGTGTCCCCCACACTGGAGCCCACACAGGGGAGCTGTAGGTCTGTTCTTGTGTCCCCCACACTGGAGCCCACACAGGGAGCTGTAGGTCTATTCTTGTGTCCCCCACACTGGAGCCCACACAGGGAGCTGTAGGTCTATTCTTGTGTCCCCCACACTGGAGCCCACACAGGGGAGCTGTAGGTCTATTCTTGTGTCCCCCACACTGGAGCCCACACAGGGGAGCTGTAGGTCTATTCTTGTGTCCCCCACACTGGAGCCCACACAGGGGAGCTGTAGGTCTGTTCTTGTGTCCCCCACACTGGAGCCCACACAGGGGAGCTGTAGGTCTATTCTTGTGTCCCCCACACTGGAGCCCACACAGGGGAGCTGTAGGTCTATTCTTGTGTCCCCCACACTGGAGCCCACACAGGGAGCTGTAGGTCTGTTCTTGTGTCCCCCACACTGGAGCCCACACAGGGGAGCTGTAGGTCTGTTCTTGTGTCCCCCACACTGGAGCCCACACAGGGGAGCAGGCAAGCCAAGAATGTTAAAGATTCTTCCTTTATGCCAACCAAACAGGAATAATTCCCAGAAACTCTATTAACGATTGTTCCTTTATGCCAACCAAACAGGAATAATTCCCAGAAACTCTATTAATGATTCTTCCTTTATACCAACCAAATACGAAATATGATGATGATGAAACAGGAATAAATCCAAGAACCTCTATTTACTTGTATAAAACAGTTATTTTTGGGCACTCTATATTACATTCGAAACCTGCTGTCCTTGGCAAGAAAAACGATTAAAACGGCCTACCTGGCCAGAATTCTCCTACAGACATATAACAGAACTGTTTTTAACAGTTGCTGTTGTCCGCTTTCACCGGCAGTAAACTCCAGCTGAAAATCCTCGCTGTTCATCCATTTCTGGGCTTCGGCCTGGACCTAAATTTTGTGTGTGCATCCGTTTTACAGATCTGGTTTATTTGTACACAGACTGTTTCTTCCTACACCCTCAGGCAGATACAATGTGACTTAGAAAGAAACACCCCAAATTAGTTGCCTCTTATGACATGCATGTCAGGGAGATAACAGGTCTATTTTCTTCCCCCCACAATGGAGCTGCGGAACCCACACAGGGAATTTTTGATAGTGAGTAAAAGTAAAGGTCCCTTTTCTCTGCCTTTAGGCGTAGAGGGCATATAGGGCTTGACCTATATTTTTATAGACTGATCGGCACAAGATGAATGATGTGGTCAGCATCACTCCAGCCGCCTTTACTTCCCGGACTGAACTCAAGGCGGGGTCGACCTGGGAGTCAAGGTCATTTCTGAAAAAAGTCTGTCTGATAGTGACTTACTTGAGAAATGACAAATGAAAATCTGAAAACCTCCTCTCAATGAACACCTCGTTTAAACACAGCCAACCCTTGCCCTGATGGAATGTCCGCAGATCATGGGCAAAAGCAAACAAGGCACCACCGGCATATGCGTGACCTGGAAATTATCAGGGGAAGTTAACTTCAGCAGGAAATCATCGAAACATGGTTGCAATGAGAGATTAATTATTAGTTATATTTGTTGTCTTCTCCTTTTTCTGAATTCACTCTTAAAATGGCGGTTAGCACATTGTGTTGTGGTTTACAGCTAGGCTGCACTATCTACATGCAACATATTCAGTCTGATGCATGCTATGAATTATGATCACCACACTCTAGGGCAGCAGTTCTCAACTTGCCAGTTGCGACCCTTTTGTAGGTCAAAAGACCCTTTCACAGGGTTCACCTAAGACCATCGGACAACACATATTCAGTAAAGTTATGAAGAAAAATAATGTTTGGGGTGTCACCACAACATGAGGAAACTGTTAAAGGGTGGCCACAACATGAGGAAACTATATTAAAGGGTGGCCACAACATGAGGAAACTGTATTAAAGGGTGGCCACAACATGAGGAAACTGTATTAAAGGGTGGCCACAACATGAGGAGACTGTATTAAAGGGTGGCCACAACATGAGGAGACTGTATTAAAGGGTGGCCACAACATGAGGAAACTGTATTAAAGGGTGGCCACAACATGAGGAAACTGTATTAAAGGGTGGCCACAACATGAGGAGACTGTATTAAAGGGTGGCCACAACATGAGGAAACCGTATTAAAGGGTTGTGGCATTAGGAAAGTTATGAGCCACTGCTCTAAGGGATATGCTGATGAGGGGATCCATGCACTTAGGGACTGAACAGTTAGGTACAATCTTTGGTCATGTCATGAAAAGGAGAACACTGTAGTACATCGTGACGGTGAGAAAGCTGGAGTACATCATGACGGTGAGAACACTGGAGTACATCGTGACGGTGAGAACACTGGAGTACATCGTGACGGTGAAAACACTGGAGTACATCGTGACGGTGAGAAAACTGGAGTACATCGTGACGGTGAGAAAACTGGAGTACATCGTGACGGTGAGAAAACTGGAGTACATCGTGACGGTGAGAAAACTGGAGTACATCGTGACGGTGAGAAAACTGTAGTACATCATGACGGTGAGAACACTGGAGTACATCGTGACGGTGAGAAAACTGTAGTACATCATGACGGTGAGAACACTGGAGTACAGCGTGACGGTGAGAAAGCTGGAGTACATCGTGACGGTGAGAACACTGGAGTACATCGTGACGGTGAGAAAACTGGAGTACATCGTGACGGTGAGAAAACTGTAGTACATCGTGACGTTGAGAAAACTGGAGTACATCGTGACGGTGAGAAAACTGTAGTACATCGTGACGGTGAGAACACTGGAGTACATTGTGACGGTGAGAACACTGGAGGGGAACAGAGGCAGAGGGAGACCAGGAGATAAGATGTTAGACAGTCTGACATCTTGGCATGGAAGATCATTTGTGTCAGAAATGAGAGAAAGTATATGAGGCAGGGGATTGTGAACAGACAAGACTATTAACAACACACAGCATGGACTACAGGGGGAACAAGAAAAAGTAGTACGATGTACTGTGAGGATGATTTGTCACCTATATTTCTTCTTGCTGTTCACCGGCTGTAAACTCCGACAGAAAGTTCTGCTTGTTCATCCACCTCCGGATGTTAATTCTATTTCAGAACCTGAGTGTTGTGTGCACATCTGTTTTATAGACCTGGCTTATTTGTATGCAGACTGTTGGTTCCTCACCTCTCAGGCAGATGCAATCTTACTCTGAAGGATGCCACCCAATTTCTCGACTCCTACCACATGCTTGTCGGGGAGGCAGTGGGTATAATCTTGTTTTCCTCACAATGGGGCCCCGGAACCCACACGGGGAGATCTGTAAATGAACCAACCAACAAAATGATAAACACAGAAAATGCAACTAATCACCAACATCTAGAGACCCATCTCACATACCATTCAACGCAACATCTAGAGACCCATCTCACATACCATTCAACGCAACATCTAGAGACCCATCTCACATACCATTCAACGCAACATCTAGAGACCCATTTCACATACCATTCAACGCAACATCTAGAGACCCATTTCACATACCATTCAACGCAACATCTAGAGACCCATCTCACATACCATTCAACGCAACATCTAGAGACCCATCTCACATACCATTCAACGCAACATCTAGAGACCCATCTCACATACCATTCAACGCAACATCTAGAGACCCAACTCACATACCATTCAACGCAACATCTAAAGACCCATCTCACATACCATTCAACGCAACATCTAGAGACCCATCTTACATACCATTCAACGCTGCCAATGTAGGAAGTGGAAAATAGAGAATACGTTTGAGCAGTCTTTGAAACGTGGAGATGAAACTGTAGAGGTCCGGCTGGGTCAGTGTGGCCATCCACTCAAGGTCAAGGCCATTTCCATAGAACTTGCCACTGCCAGTTGTAATCAGGCCCTTGCATGTCTCACTGCTGAAAACAGGAAAACCTGACTTTAACTCATTCTCTATACAAACAGGAAAACCTGACATTAACTCATTCTCTATACAAACAGGAAAACCTGACTTTAACTCATTCTCTATACAAACAGTTCCCTGGTTTTGGGGTTTCTGAACATAATTTCACAATTCTGACATAAGGGTTAGATTCTTATTTGTCTTATTCACCTACTGTAAACTCCAACAGAAGGTGCTGGTTGTTTGTCCACTTCTGGACTTTAGTATCATTCCATAACCTGATTGTTGCATGCACATCCGATTTACAGAAATGGTTTTTTTGTATGCAGACTTTTAGTTCCTTACTTCTCAGGCAGATGCACTCCGATCTTGAAGAATGCCACCAATTAGTCTACCCTTACGACATGCCTGTTGTTTTCCCTATAATGAAGCCCTGGACCACACGCTGGGAAGGTTTGATTCAGCTGTGAACGACTTGCTAGCAGTGTTGCTTGTTCAGATTACAATGGCAAACTACTGAATGTAACACTGTCTGGTAACATCACAAACAGTCAGTCAACTTCTTCTTCTTCATATTCACCAGCTGTAAACTTCAGCATAGAGTCCTGGGTATTCATCCACTTCTAGTGTTTGGACTCGTTCCAGAACTGGAGTTTTGTTTTCTCATCTACTTTATAGATTTGGGTTCTCTATATGCAGACTGTTGGTTCCTCACACCCCAGGCAGTTGCACTCCAACTTCAAAGGAAACACCCCTAATTAGCTACCCTTTTTGGTAAGCTTCTTACGGGTTTAGTGAGGTTTCTTTCCCTCCAAAATGGCATCCACACAATCCACATGGGGATTTAAAAAAACAAATTTCACCTTTAACAACATGCTTATTAAGGGCAACTGATCTATTGCAACGACAGGTCGTGAGCCATTTTCTGAATTCCTCATATTCTGTGCACTCAACAGTGAATGAATGTGTGCACTCAACAGTGAATGAATGTGTGCACTCAACAGTGAATGAATGTGTGCACTCAACAGTGAATGAATGTGTGCACTCAACAGTGAATGAATGTGTGCAGTCACAGTACACCAGTCAATCCCACCTCTGAACATCATCAAGCAGTGTGTCCAAAGTCTGCACAAACTCCAGGTTGAGCCGGTTCTCTCCCCTGCTGAACACAATAATGGCCACATCCTGGAAGAAGTACAGCGACATGCCGTTCAGCTCCCTCTGGGGTTTATGAAGAATATGAGAACTCATTTTCTCGGACTCTCTGAAAGAAAAATGTAGTCATGTAAAAACAAACATGAGGAATGTTCAGTTAGTGATAACTGTAAGCAGGGTAGCTTGTATATATGTCAGGTCAAGTCAATGAGGGTAAGCTAGGTAGCTGGTATATATGTCAGGTCAAGTCAATGAGGGTAAGCTGGGTAGCTTGTATATATGTCAGGTCAAGTCAATGAGGGTAAGCTGGGTAGCTTGTATATATGTCAGGTCAAGTCAATGAGGGTAAGCTGGGTAGTTTGTATATATGTCAGGTCAAGTCAATGAGGGTAAGCTGGGTAGCTTGTATATATGTCAGGTCAAGTCAATGAGGGTAAGCTGGGTAGCTTGTATATATGTCAGGTCAAGTCAATGAGGGTAAGCTGGGTAGCTTGTATATATGTCAGGTCAAGTCAATGAGGGTAAGCAGGGTAGCTTGTATATATGTCAGGTCAAGTCAATGAGTGTAAGCTGGGTAGCTTGTATATATGTCAGGTCAAGTCAATGAGGTTAAGCAGGGTAGCTTGTATATATGTCAGGTCAAGTCAATGAGGGTAAGCTGGGTAGCTTGTATATATGTCAGGTCAAGTCAATGAGGGTAAGCAGGGTAGCTTGTATATATGTCAGGTCAAGTCAATGAGGGTAAGCTGGGTAGCTTGTATATATGTCAGGTCAAGTCAATGAGGGTAAGCTGGGTAGCTTGTATATATGTCAGGTCAAGTCAATGAGGGTAAGCAGGGTAGCTTGTATATATGTCAGGTCAAGTCAATGAGGGTAAGCTGGGTAGTTTGTATATATGTCAGGTCAAGTCAATGAGGGTAAGCTGGGTAGCTTGCCTCCTTTACTTCCCAGAAGTTTACTTAGTACTAATTTAAAGCTAGGTCAACCTGGCAGCAAAAGTTATTTGTGAAAAAAGTCAGGCTCTGTTCAGGTCTGACCTATGACCTCTGAATCAAGCGGTGAGCGTATATAAGTCAAGAGGATAACAGAAATGATCAGGCAGGCAGAGCTTTAGTTTCATGTGGTCACATACTGGGAACACAGGCCAGTCTTGCAACTGCTTTCTCTAGCCACTCATCTTACACACAGTAATTACATGCTCTGCAATGTTGGCACCTTTCCTTCTGTCTTTCCCAGATGATAGTGTAATACTGTGCTACAAAGAGGCATAAGACCCTGATGGGTCTATACAAGCCAAGCACAGACATCTGAGCTAAATAACTAGGAATATGGATGGGTGGTGAACAGGGTATGGTGTTTGGTGATTGCTAACTCTGGTTCTCCTCCTTGTCACAGGATGTTACTTATATCTGTAGGCCAGGTCAACTATCAGTATCCTAACACCCATCAGCAGATAGTCTACAGTCAGTGAACACCTCACACATGTCCATGCCCCAATGTCAGGGGCTACATGAGGAATCCTCAGTGAACACCTCACTCATGTCCATGCCCCAATGTCAGGGGCTACATGAGGAATCCTCAATGAACACCTCACACATGTCCATGCCCCAATGTCAGGGGCTACATGAGGAATCCTCAATGAACACCTCACACATGTCCATGCCCCAATGTCAGGGGCTACATGAGGAATCCTCAATGAACACCTCACACGGTTATGCCGGACACAGCTGAGAGAGCTTAAAATATTATTTTGAAGTTCTCATTTCTTAACTATTTCTATTTTAATAATTTCGCCATGAATGATTTTTCAATCCTTCGGAGAGGGAAATATGACTGCGTCGAGGGGCAAGGAGGGGGGTATGACAGACACTGTTAGCTGAGAGCTATTTTTTTTCCTCTCCATTTCACCATTCTGGGCCACAGCAATGCGTGGCCGGGTATACCTAGTATTTAAATATAGATTTATCTGAAGCTAGATATCTGCACTAATTTCAGAGCTGAGGCAACTGCCCTCCTCTTTGCAGTCCAACATCTCATCACTCAAGAACACAGAGGGCACCAAATTGTTATACTTAGTGACTCATTGTCTGTTCTCAAAGCACTATCCAGCAAAAAACAAGACAAACTAATTGCAGATCTAAGGACCAAGGAAGCAGAACTGGTCTTGCAGTGGATACCAGCCCACTGTGGTATTCAAGGAAATGAGAGAGCAGATGAGCTGGCAAAAGCTGGGAGTAATCTTCCACAACCTCATCCACCACACAGCTACAAGGAAACCAAAACAGCGCTAAAGCAGTCTTTCAAGCGGGAGTGGAGAAGGCAGAATGGAGATTACAGACCAGAGAGTGACAGCATAAACAAACTCAACAGAAAAGAACAAACATCAATTTTTAAACTTCGGACTGGACACTGTGGTCTTCGAGCACACTTGTACAGGATAGGCATAACAGAATCTGCTGCCTGTGATTGTGGAGCAGAAAGACAGACCCCTGAGCACATACTACAGTACTGTCCTAACCTCTCCCAGCAAAGACTGTGGATCTGGCCCAAGGGAGCCACATTGCAAGAGAAGCTATGGGGGACCGGTGGCGACCTTAAAAGCACAATCCTATTTGTGACCCAGACGGGACTCAATGTTTAGCATGACTGATGTCGAACGCAGAAGAAGAAAATGAAGCTAGACAAAGAAAGTTACAAAGTAGATTTGTTTCAGTCATTGACAGAGTCAAACTTTGATGAGGGACAGCTCATATATACCTCACACAAAGCCTACAACAAGAACAAAGTCAGCTGGTACAAGGAGAACAAATATTCTTCAAAAAGGCGATACTCTTCAGTATCAGTTAGGTCTAGAGCCATTCCCTTATTATTTGGGAACATATGCTATAAAAGTAAGGGCAAACTTGAATGTTAACTCCTTTTCAAATACTAACTGAGATAATTTCTCTTTTACGAAAAAAAAAAACATCGTGCTCTGTTACGATGTTCTCAAAGTTTCTCTGGAACGAGATCTAGGTAATGTCTTGGTAATGTTAGTTTCGGCTTCATAGCAAACGGGTCACCCCATTTTTGCTCTGCTCCTGTACCAATGAAAAACACACAGAATGTTTATCACAGTCCCTTGTAGAAAGATTGACAGACTGCTGTCTCAACATATGCACTAGCATACACAAACATTAAAAGCATACGGTAGCCATCAGAAGTGCTAACACAAACAGTCCTACATTAGAAATGCAGTTCATCATCAATGGTAGCAGAGGTAACCAACAAATGAGCAGTTGCACATGCAATCAATATTAATCACATAAGGGCACCACCAATATTGCAACGACAGGTCGCGAGCTATTTTCTGATCTACAATTCACAACACCACGTTGGTGTCAGTCAAAAAACATTCCAAATAAAATGTGCGGCTCAAAGTGTCGCACCATCACTCAACTCAGTAGCGAAACTATATCTTTTCAGTCTACAAATAGAGCAAAAATGCAATGGCACCTGTTTGGCAGAAGCAAAAAATGTGCCACCACTCAAAACAGTGACCGTGCCTGGCGTCTTCTGACCTGAGATCTAATGGACAGATAGTGTATATGTTTTATTTATACATTACTAAGAGGTTCATGGGCTCTCCTCCGAACGGCATCATAATATTATGGCGGCCATAAAATATCCTAAAATATCCGAACGGGGCTCAGGCATATCTAAAATACAGACTTTCTGCCAAGGAACAAATCGCGGCAAAACTAGGATTACTTAACAATATCAACATTGCACACGTTAGTAGCAGACGATAAATACCAACTGTTGAAAATTTCAAGCGTTTCTGCAGACGAAATTAGCGACCATTGACTATTTCGAGACATTACAGGTGATGAAAGCGATATGGCGGGTAGACCATGCGCTCCCGCGCAGATTAGCAATACTGTTCATCCGACTGAGGATTTAGCAGCGGTAGATGTCAGACCTGCCGACCTGTATCCTCACACTTTTCGGCATGCGCAAAACGCGATTAAACTACGCGTGGTGTGGATGGGGGGGGGGGGGGGGGGGGGGGGGGCTAAACTAGGTGCCTGGGACTCACGAGCAAATTAGTTAAAGGAAGTTGCGGCATGGGGGTTACAGTCGGCGGTGAGGCACAGTCACAGAAACAGGTCCGCAAGTTAACATATCGCTGAGACCCTGTTAGAGCATTTGTTTCATTATACAGAGCCAGCATATTTTTAATTCAACTGAGCCCCATTCTGATATTTTTTGGCCACCATAATATTATGATGCAGTTCAGAGAAGAGCCGGTTCATGTTCATTTGTGATTCATTTTGGATACACTGTAACAAGTTTTTCTTGAGTGGCATGGTGGTAGGTGCAAAAACTATTATTTCTTTTTACTAATTTCTCTAAACATACCAGCTGTTTATTTACTAATAATTAACTACTAACAAAATGTATTGTTATAGCAGTATTATCATATTATTCCTCAACAATCCCTGGTCACTTTTGATATATAATTTGTGTATGTTGTGTGGCAGTTGAATTAGCATGGTCTGTTTCAATGTGTATCACTTGTGGAAAGCGTTTTTTTTTTTTTTTATGAATGCTAGTGTAATGGGAAATGACCAGCAGATTGACTGGCTGGTTCTGCGCCACTTGGCGTTGAATTAATGCAGTTCAAGCTAGATGTTGCAAGGACCCTTTGGGGACAAGAGAACGGTGCAGAGGCACACATGTATTGTATCATGGGAGAACGCGCTGTCAGGAGTGAGCACAGGATCTGACCGACGCCCAACACGTCATGGAAAGTTGAGACGGACACAAAATTAGTTACTGGTACCATGGCAACTAGAACTCTGTGCCTGCTACTGAAGATGGGGAAGTAGAGTCAGAGTTTATGGGAGTGTCTCGAGTGCTGTGGTGTAGATTCTTAAAGAAACATTTCGGAATCATTTCCTTCATCTCTGTCAGTCCTGAGATACAAAACTTACTTACCCGTGTGGGTTCGACCCACGGACCTCTAGTTCCCTACCCCTGATCAAGATTGTAGTTTAGGGCTTCCATACCGTAGCTACCCTGCCCAAACCTCCTGAATTATGATCCGGAGGGGG